TCATCCATTAAACATATGCTCTTCAGTTTTCATTATCTAAGGATGCTCTTAAATATAATCAGAGTTGCATTTTCGTTAGCTTATGAAGGTTATGCGAGCCAAACGTCAAATACCTATTCAAGTAATTTAGCTTTTCTTAGATAAATTAAACCGTTACTTAACTAAAAATTTACATTCAATCGAATTCATAAAAATTAAACATTTTTTCTCTCGCTATGGAAGTGAAGCTTAAAAAAAACGTTTATAAAGAATATTACAAATTTTTCTAAATCTTAAGAAAAAAGAAGAGCATAAATTCCACTTGTGACAAACACATTTCCTTTCGGTCAAAGCAACATTCGGACTCGAAACGCGCCCTACGAAAATAAACTTTTCACAATGAATTGGTTTTTGAAGGAGCTCCTATTAATAGTTCAGCTCAAATTGTTTCGCAACTCAATAACTCCGTCTGATTTCTGTCTGTTGCCAAAACTAAAAAATATTATTTATTAACAATAGTTTTTATATACGTCAAATGTACAAATGCGAAACTATGATTTTTTTTTTTTTTTAAATGCATTAAATTCAGAAGGAAAATAAAAAGAGGTTCGTTTAAAGTAAGCTCCGTCGCTAGTTACAAGTTTTGCTCATCTTTCAAACAACATGCGGATACTATGCCAGTAAAAATGTTTCCCTTTTGCATTCGACTGTGCACCGAGCCCAACTACTATTCAGCACTTGACCCGTCGATGCGAACAGTTGGGAATACAGAAGATCTAAGCCTGGAGAAAACTGATATCTATGGCAATAGCCCAGTTTTAGTAGCTTATAATAGAGCACAGTCTTTACGCTCACACGAAATAAAGAGCATCGGGCTCCTGACAAAGCGGCTCGGACTTGCGGTTGACAAGGATGGCACAACTGAGTCTATCCAAGCTTTTTTACTTCACTTTGATATAACAATGAATTTCTTTCGCGTCGTTGCAGCAAAAAAAAATGGAAGTGTTAAACATCACAACTCTGGCCTTAAACCAATACTTAAGGGGTTTACACAAATTTCCATATTTCACTTATGATCTCTAATTAAGAATATACCTTATTACCTACATTGATATAACCGTAAGAATATAATATATACAGTAAAAGCTTCTTATTCGCGTGGTATACGAACCATAAAAATGCCGCGAATACAAAAACCGTGAATACGGAAGGGTAATTTATATGGGATTATAGGGGATACGTTCCTAGGTGGCAAAATAAAAAAAATCAATTTAATTGAAGTTTTTGAACATTTTGATTAATTATCTTAAGGCTTAGGCAATGGTTTGAAGAATTTTGTAAGTTTCTCTTGCTGGGCAGTTTTTAAAAGCTCCTTCAATTCAGACTGATACGCAGTCGCATTAGCGATCTGCCTCTTAAAAGTAAGATTTCGTTTCATAGACGGATCAATGTTCATAAAGAAATCGCCAAGCTCATGTGCCATTCTTAAACCTTCACTAAGGCTTTTCAAATTAAATGTCACGTTTCCAGTGCTTGTTGAAGTCTCTTCTTCAATGGGCGGTGAGTTTAACATTTCCTTCAAGTCGGTTTCAGTCAAATCTTCATCTTGTGATTCGAGCAATTCCTGAATGCCACTTGATTTTATCTGTTCGAACCCATCTCGTCATATTCCATTGGCGATTTCGACTATGATTTGCAGTCAAAGTATGAACTTGCACAGATTCATTTCAGTCATTTTCTGCAGTCAGATCAGGCCACAGTGTTTTCCAGCATGGCTTCAATGTGTGTGGCTTCAGTTCTTCCAATGATTCTTTTATGTTTACGATGCATTTTGCTACGTCAAATTTCTTCCTGCATTCCATAACATACATATCAGGATTACATTGCATATTATCCAATATAATATTGAAGGTTCGTCTAATGTGATAGAGCTTAAAGGCCTGGATTATTGCTTGGCCCATAGGTTGAAGCAAAACCGTCGTGTTGGGAGGCAAAAATGTCGCTTTTATGTTTGGATACATGGTCTCAAGTTCGCGAGGATGACCTGGTGCAGTGTCCAAAACTAGAAGTGCTTTAAAGTCTAAATTCTGTTTTTTTAAATAAGCTTCAACTTCAGAAACAAAACAATTCCGGAACCAGTCACAAAAAATACGCGAATAAAGAAATTTATAGCCGCGAATATTGGAAGTGGGTCGCATTTTTTTAATCCGCGAATAGTGAAACCGCGCACAAAGGAAGCGCGAATAAGAAGCATTTACTGTATATAAATATGCCGAAACTCTCACCTCCCAGCGGTGATCCCCGGGCAACGGCTTCGGCCGGCTAAGAAGAGTTTAAGGTTTTGGGCTGCTAACTCGGCGACGAGTTTCTGAGAGATGGTGGAGGGGTTGGCTGGAAGAAGAGCTCTTACTCAATAAGCTAGTTACTACCGAGGAAATATATTGAATGGTATTTAAGTACAATGAAGGTAGTAATCTAGCGAGTGCATGGTAGAGTGCATTAGACTAGTCTACCATGTTCAGTGCAATACCCGAGACCTATATATCTTGAAGAAAAGTAGTTCACTTGGTGCTAGCAACCAGGAAAGTATGGAGGATCCGAAGCAAGTACGGTTGTTTTTAACAACCGCCCAAAGTATGCCATAAGGCTTTGCAAAATAAACTGGGAGCCACGGGGGTCAGGAAGCTCGCCTCACAAAGCCACGTATGCCTGCGGGTATATGATGGACTTTGTCCTTAAGTCGTAATAAATAAATAAATTAATTATACTATTAATGCAAAAAGGAATTGACGGACGGCCTTCCCTTTGGCCGATTGATAGAAAATGTCTGGTAAATTAATTAATACATGCAAAAATGGAAAAGGGATATGACGAATAAGTTTTCCCCTTTTACCTATTTTTACTTTTGAACACATGTCACGGATGCCTGCGGGTAATGGTGGTAATTGATCAACAGCACAGTGGAAGCCTTATGGCGGAAGCAGTCAGTTGATCAATTTGTGAGTCCTGACTGCTTGGGTGCGGCCCTTCGGGGGGTACTCGTGGTGGTTGTGGTTGGCGAGTTCCTAGCTAAAATGGAACAATTGAGTGCAGCTAGGCCTCGCCATTCACCAGAGTGGGGTTTATTGTTCCATACACAATAAACTGATCTGGACTCTGGTGCTGTTTAGGCCCCTACTCTGTGGGGATTGTCTAACTCGCCAGGGGGCGTAGTACGCTTAAAAGTGGCTTGGGCCACCGTGGTGTTAAGCCTTTCAGGCAGGAACCCACGTTAAACCCTTGCCACAAATTCTGTATATAAATAAGGGGAGATAAACTATGCTTTAATGGGTGGCATAGATGTGCCGAAACTCTCACCTCCCAGTGGTGATCCCCGGGCAACGGCTTCGGCCGACTAAGAAGAGTTTAAGGTTTTGGGCTGCTAACTCGGCGACGAGTTTCTAAGAGATGGTCGAAGGGTTGGCTGGAAGATGAGCTCTTCACTCAATAGCTGGTTACTACCGAGGAAATATATGAATGAATGGTTTTTAAGTACGTTGAAGGTAGTATTCTAGCGAGTGCATGATAGATCGCCCCTGCCATGTCAGTGCAATACCCGAGACCTATATATCTCGAAGAAAAGTAGTTCACTGGTGTTGGCAACAAGGGTAATATGGTGAATCCGAAGCAACAACCGCCAAAGTATGCCTAAGGCTTTGAAAAATAAACTGGGAGCCACGGGGGTCAGGAGGCTCGCCTCACAAAGCCACGTATGCCTGCGGGTGTATGATGGGCTTTGTTCATAAAGTCGTAACGAAATAAAATAATTTTTTCTCAAGAAAAATAATAATACAAAAAGGAATTGACGGACGGCCTTCCCTTTGGCCGATTAATAAAAAACCCTCTCGAGAATTAATTAATACATGCAAAAATTAAAAAGGGATTTGACGGAAAGGCTTTTCCCCTTTTGCCTTATTTTACTTTTGAACATATGTCACGGATGCCTGCGGGTAATGGTGGTAATTGATCAACGGCGTCGTGGAAGCCTTATGGCGGAAGCGAGCGCAATTTTTACCCTTTTTGAACGCATATCGTTGATCAATTTGTGAGTCCTGACTGCTTGGGTGCGGCCCTTCGGGGAGTACTCGTGGTGGTTGTGGTTGGCAAGTTCCTAGCCAAAATGGAAAAATTTGAGTGCAACTAGGCCTCACTACTGACCAGAGTGGCGGTTCATTCGGCCATATCCGGTGAACCATCTGCGCACTTTGGGGTAAGAAAGGCCCCCTTATTAGGGGATTGTCTTTCCCCCCGGGGGGTGGTCACTCGACTCAAATGAGTGCCTATGGTTGTAGGCAAACCGTCTGATTAAGGCAACAAGCCAGGCGCAGACGTTAAACCCCAAGAGACATCTGTATATAAATAAATCAAATTAATATCTACCATACACAACTAAAGATTATATATGTAAACTCCATATATTTTATGGGGTCTTATGTGCGAAAGAGAAAGTATCTTACACAGCGAAGGACAAATAAAATGTAAAGATTTTTCCATATCTATCTTAATGCACTAAGTTTATAATTTTTTTTAATATTTGCTATAATTTTATTATATTCGAATATCATAATCTAAATGTTTTGTGAATTATAAGCCTCCAATGCATGTGTGCCTCGATAGTATTCATTTTCCTTTCTAGTTAAGCAGCTCCCATTAACACAGTGATTGAGAATCCCCGATATGCATGAAATTGTTATCTCGCTTTAAACTTTCAGACATACTTTAATATGTGTATGTATAGAAATAATTCAAAAAAAAAAAAAAAAAATTTGATAAATATTTAACTCATTTTGGTTCAAAAGAAACTTGAGTTTAATGCTTTCATTTACTCATTAAAAATTCAAGCGATAACCTCATAAGGGCCGCTTCAATGACGAATAAAGGCTTCAAGTTTCGATTAACTTGAATAAAAAAAAAATAAAATAAGTATATTTCCAGTTGCAGATTAGCTAGACATTTTCATAACTTTATCAAAAACAGTTTGATTTATTCAGGGCTGACGGCAACATGTTATTCGGGCAAAGAAGTTTGCAATGCTTCGTATTCTGCATATTATTGCTAACTTTATTAAAAGGGTTTGCTTTAGGACACAGTCTATATGACGACGATGTATACGATGATTATTCAAATGGAAACTTTAACGTTATGAATCATGTTGAATATGATCCTTTAGAACAATATAACTCAGAAAGAACCTATAAAACTCAGCCTGAGAGCCAGTTCGAACCGCGTCCAAATTTTGAAATACAGCTAAAATCAGAAGATAACTCCAAACCTCAAGAGAATATATATGAAATCCATAGTGGCGTAGTTCTGCCACAATATAATTATAATGAATCCATAGAAAAAAATTATGAACCAGAAGAAGAACACCAATATGAAAGTCAAAATGAGCTTGATAGCCAGAGTGATAGCCACGAGCATTCAATTGAAGAAAATCGCTACATATCCGATAATAATCATTCTGATGTGAAGGACAGAAACTTTGAGAATTTTGAGCAAAATAATTCTGAACAAGATAATTATTATACGCCCCAGGAAAATTATTTCTCACCAGAAAATATGCCCCCAATATACCAACCGCTGCTACCTCAATCCCAAGCAGAATTCCAAAACTCTGCTATAATAGCCGTGCCACGTTTAAGTGAGGTTCGCGGTATTTATGCATATAAAATGATTAAAGGCCGACCTATTAATGCATATTTTGGCCTACGATATGGCTCGGTGAACTCAAAATTAGGAAGATTTCAAGTAAGTTTTTTACAGGGATTTTCCAACCACTTTTGTTGTAAGTGCAAATATCATCGCAGAAAGCATCGCCCCCAGAAAACCTTCTAAATATAATTAACGCCAGAGAGGAACCTCCCGCTTGTCCACAATTTCCTGAAATCGCAATCATTAATGATCGAGAGAAACGAGGTGAAAAAATCGATGATTGCCTAACATTGAATATTTACTCTCCTTCGGTAGGTACTCGTAAACTAAAGAACACGAAACCTCTGGATAATCTTGTCTTTATTTAGCAAAAGGGTTCATATCCGGTCTTGGTATTCGTACATGGAGAAATGTTATTTGACGGAAGCGCGGCCGAAGGACAACCTGATTACTTTTTGGAACATGATATTGTATTAGTTACAATTAACTATCGTTTAGCACCCTTCGGTTATTTAACTACACTGACGGAAGCGATGCCCGGCAACGTTGCTTTGGCCGACATACAAATGGCTTTAGAATGGATACAAGAGTATATTAGACCTTTCAACGGTAATCCCGATTCAGTGACTCTAATGGGCCAAGCTGGTGGAGCTACTTTAATACACGCTCTCAGTATTAGCGGCAAGGTGATAGCTACACTTGCTCATATATGTATGTAAGTATATGCCAAAAAATTTTAATTGTGGAATTTACGTCTCCTCTAGGCTCAAGGCTTATTCCATAAATTAATATTGCAATCTGGCACTGCTCTGAATCCTTATTTTTTGGATGAACAACCGTTAAACACTTTGCGAAATTTTGCTCATTATGCACGCTGCTCAACTTTACATACCATAGAAAGCTTTGTCAGTTGTTTCGAACATATGAGCACTACCGATTTGCTCAAAGTATTTAAAACATTCTTTGTAGGTTTCTTTAACACAAAAACAAGATGTGAAAAAAGTTACTGTATTATGATAACTTTATCTACATTTAGGAGATTAATGAACCTCGAGGCTTAGCCTTCAATAGTGCCTTCAAGCTTGTAATCGGTGATCACTTAGGTTATCTACCACAACATCCTGCGACACTGGTAAGCAACAATGCATATCCTACATTAATTGGTGTTACTAAAGATGCAGGTGCTTTTATAATGTCTCGTGAGTGTGAAAATTATTGCAAATTTTTATCAAAGAATATTTGTTAAAAGGATTCATTTAGGATTTTACAATCAACTATCTGTTGTACATTCAGCAAACATTTCGGATTACACTACTGCGGTTCTGAAACATATTACACAAACCCGTCATTATCGGATTTGGAGGTATTGGGCACTGGAGCACATTTTTACTTCAGAAGATATGCGCAATCCCACATTGAGCAGTGTAGCTCATAAATTACTAGAGGTGAACTGAAATCTTAAAGAGCTTCTAAAGAGCAACTTTTGAACACATATTTCTTACATTACCAGCTAGTAAACTTGGTTTTATATCGTGGCCCTGTTATTGACAGCATACGCGATATCACAAAAAACTATCCAATATATATGTATTGTTTTGACTATCGTGGTGAATATCATCGTTTTGGTCATCTGCGAAATCCTTTACCTTTTGAAGTAGACGCCACTCTTAGCGATGATAACATTTTCCTATTTCCTTATCCTATTGAGGTTAGTCAACTTAATGAAAAAGACAGGACTATGGCCCGCACTATGGTTACGATGTGGGTTAATTTCGCTTATCACAATATACCCAATTTTAATGAGGGAGTATGGCCTAATATTTCTACGGAATATGGCCCGTTCTTGCGTTTCACCAACTCTAAAGAAATCGGACTGGAACTTGACTATCATTTTGCAGAGGGCATACCCGTACCAAATTTGTATCCGGAATATTTCACTAACACAACAACCACAACAACTAGTGCCACTACAACTACTAAAAAGCTCAACTATCCTAATTATTCACAGCATCCCAATTATCCCCTATATCCGAATTATCTCTATAACCACCGCTCGCAGTCACTGTTAAGTCATTACAAGGCACATGAACATGTCTTGCAGGACCAAAGTTATGAAACTCATGCCGGAAATAAAATGAGAACAAATAATTACCCTCAAAACTCTACGTACGTTCAAAGCCGTATGTCACCCAATTTTAGTAATGGTTATGGTAATCATTGAACGCATCGTTAATAAACTTCTGAGTTTATAAATCAGTAAATTAAAGCAAATCGACCGAACGGCATACAAACCAGAACACGTTGCTGTAACCATCTATTTATAGTTTAATGTGTGCGTTTAAAAATGTTAGAAATAAAATTATTCTTTTTCAAATAAATAACGCTTGTCAAGCCTTTACCTACTTTTAACAAATTTCTTATGTTCCAGCAATTGTTTCTTATTAATTAATGTATTATTTTCATTGAAATGTACAACACGACATTTGACTAAAAATGCAATTTGCAGACACATTTAGATCGCTTACGAAGCCTAAAATAGATCCTGCTATCGGCATGAAGTTTTAGACTTTAGTTAACGCATAAACGTAACGTCGATATGCTCGTAACAGCATTAGGCTACATTCCAAAAGCATAGTCAATGTAATGAGCTAAGACAAAGCTGCTAATATACAGCTTTCTGCAATAAATAAAGCGATAGCGAGCTTTGCTAAACCGTAGACGTACAACGCATTAAGATCGCTTGGATTCAATATGTTAAATGTTTTCTTTCTAAACGCTTGATCAACGAAGACGTAGACTATAAGATACACATGGAAATATATGATCAATTAACCAAAAAGTAAAGCAATGTACTGAAATTTTTAGAAAGTTTATCTCGCACGAATATATCGAAAATTTTTAACGAATTGTTTTTCTAAATTTGAATACACTCATCTTAATCATATCCTTCAACCAGGTATGAAAGTTGTCGAACTATTACATCTCTGTTCGGCGATGTCAACTTGGGCTATCGAACTTTTAAATACGCATTTTGCCGTTTATGCATACATAAAAAGAAGAAGAAGTCTGGCAAAGCGATAATTGTTATTTTCGCCTTTGACTATTTATGAAACTATGAGTTTTCTTTAGGTAAAAGTAATACTGACGCCAAGCATTATTGACGCAAGGAAGCTCAGTTACTAATTTTGCATCATAATCCTATCATTTCTCATATACATAGGGTCAATCCTCTGTACAACGATGAATGTATATATAGTTCTAATCTTCATACCAATACAATATTGTACTTATAACAAAAAAATACATACTTCTGTAAAATAATTCACACATGCATTCTTGCAGGCACATCTGCTCTTTCTACTAGTTCACTCTACTTATGAATTCTTTATAGTAGGCATACTCTCTAAGAACTCTTGTTGCTAAGATCTCATGTATAAATGTTATATATACGCGATACATATACACCTATACATGCAGGATTATTCGGACTTAGTGATAAAATTTACATTCATGCGCACAGTGGATTTAAGGTAAAATTTATAAATGAAATTGTTTACGTAGATAATACCCACGCAGGGCACTGAGTATATATGGAGTTGACTAGGTTTCATTTTTGAGCTTCAACTTTCTTAGCTCTATGTATGCACAATAGGTGCGAGGAACGCTGTCTCAGAATTATCAACATAGGCGTAGGCAAAATTGATCACACCTTGCATTAGTATTGCTTGTTCTGCCTTAATATTGTTTGTTTAGAACAGCATATATGAAAGAGAATAGATGCAAATTAAAAAATAAAATAAATTCGAAATTATTTACTTACAAACAGCTCAACCAAAACAAAAATTTTAAATTTGTGAAAGGTAAGTAAATTATTTCTTTTTTTTGCTTTTTGCGCCAATTGTCTAATTAATACCCTTAGTTCGCCAAAGCTTGCAAAGATACATAAGCAATGCTCAGATTTAGTATAATGGGAAAGCGATTGCGGCAATCATTATGAAGGTACCAGCTCAATCATCTATTGCCACTATTGTTATGCCACCGAAAGAGATAAATGATATAATATGAACATGGCTTGGACCTAAATTAAACGATATCATTGCAGGTTAATTAGGTTTGGAACACCAGTAGTCCTAGCTTAAGCGGTGTGCCTGAATCAGCAACCTCAGTATAGAGTCCATCCCCGACTAATAAGCTTTATGGATACAGGTATAGCAATCTTAGCTGAGGCTCCATTCCCGACTATTGAATTTTGCGGATAGGAGGTCACCAATCTAACTTAGGCGCTATCCCTGAACGACTACATGGACAGATAGATGTATAACTGCGGGTTATAGTCATGCTTCAAACCGTGGATAATAAGAGAAATCACCATTAACAAATAGATATGAGAAAGAAGACAAACCATGGGTAACAAAACACTTAACAATAACTAGCGAGTCCAAACGGTACATTTGTTGGGTTGTTTTTCTTTGTGCATAAAAATAATTATGCAATCCTGCCGTTATACGCAATTTTTCTGTATAAAACGAATAAAGAAATTCGAGCACTAAACGAAGGTTCGCGTTTTGGAAACGGACTTCTGGGCAGCCCTATTTAATACCCCAACTAAGAACAACCATTGCAAATAAAACTTATCATGCTAAAGTTTTTTGAGCTTACTTTTCCTGCTTCGTTCGAAAAATAGGGTTGCTGAATCGTGACGGATGATGAATGTGTTACGATATCTAAATCTCTAGTTATCTTAATGCAGTCTGGGCGAACCTTTAGTATCTGTATTTTCATTTGATGGGCTCACCTGAGCCTGATGTATTATGAGTTGCTCAGATCAAAAGAAAATGCCACTAGGGGACGATACCCCATAATATCATGATTTTTCAGCCTGATGACATTCGGCTCCACATGGCAAGACTGGCCGTGGGAACTCAAACTTTGCACCGAAATTCGCTAACGCTCAAATGTATTCACCAGATAATATCCCTTCTGATTCATACAGGTTTCATGCTGGTTTCCATTACTGACCACTACTTCCAATGGAGACCTTTTTACATAATATTATTGCCTTAGTTATACTAATACCTGAAGCCCAAAAGTCCTCTCTGCTCCTACCTGTGTGTATAATTTCGCTGATGGTTCTCAGCTCTGTACAGTTTTGAATATTACCCAGCCACGACATTTGTTTTTTGCCCTTCGATAGGGCCTTCCACTATTAAGTGCAAAAGCGCATATTTTTCTCCACGTATTAACTGTCCAAACTATACGGTTTTTCGTTTTTAGAATTCTTCTCAGAACTTGAACATTGGAGATGCGAGCTGCCCATGATGTTTTCAGAATTCTACGGTAGCACCGTATCCCAAAAGCTTCTAATTTGTTCATTATACTTATTTTTAATGACCATGACTTTAGACCATACAAGAGCACCGCCCATACGAAGAATTTCTTGAAACGAAAGTGAAGAAATAAGGTTATTTCCTGCCTACCTAGAATTTTTTGATATTTCAAATCTAGCTATTTCTATTCTTCTTTTTATATTTACGTCACTATCCCAGTCTTCGTGTAAGATGGATCCACGGTGTACAAAATTGGAAACCCTTTCCAAAAGTGTTACTTTGATCGTGTACAGCTTGAACCATCGTCTACAAATCCTGCATATTATCTGCTAGAATAGTTGCATCATTCGCATATCACTCATTTCAATACCTTCTTGAAAGATTAACTCAAAGTAGACGTTGAAAAGAGGAGGAAACAAAATGTATCCTTGGCACACCCCCCTGTTTGTAGGAATATAATTCATCCTGCCAATATTACCACGGACCTCTACGGTTTGTCTCCAATAGAAGTTTTTTATGCAGCGTATATCCTTTCAATCAATACTAAAAACTTTCAGGATATCTATTAATTTATCATGCTGTACTTTTTGAAACGCTTTTTCGTAACCCACGAAACAAAGAAAAACGCCTTTATGTACATCTCTACACTTTCGGACCAGAATCTGAATTCAGTATAAAACTTCTCTGGTGCCCATGCCTTTCCGGAAATCAAACTGAGTATGGCCAATCGCTAACTCACATCTAGCATAAAGCCTTTTCGGAACTACTCTTAGAAATATTTTCAGAACATGATTCATTGGGGACATCATTCTGTAATCGTGATATCTCCGGGCATTGGTTTTCTTTGGAATTGTGATGAATGATGATTTTAACGAGTTATAAAGTCCTGTGTCGTAGAACTCATTAAATAGTTTTTGTGGGATATATTGATTATTATCACTTATAATTGCTGCCAGCATTTCTGTATCGTTACCCACAGCCTTGTTTTTCTTTTTTTTTTCTATTTTTTAAAGCTTTTCCTATTTCATCTTTCGTAATGGGTGTCCGCGTAAGTTGTTGATCATCGTTAGGAAAGTCTACAGATGTCATATCGTCTGCAAATAATTGACGAATATAATCTTCCCAAATCTCTCTTGTTTCTTCTATCTCGCTGACTCTTTCATTACGATTATTCATCAGAACAGCTGGCGTTGTTTCTTTTTTTTGCAGACCACAAGTTTCCTTTAGTCTTTCGTCTAAGTTGACGTTGTCGTGTAATGATTGAAGCCTTTCTATTTTCCAACACTGGTTTTCTGTCTATGCCCGCTTTGCTTCTCGCAATTTTACTCGTATTATTTGTTTTGTTAGACGGTATTTCGTTAACATTGCGATGTTTACTTCTTTCATTCACAAGTTCCAGTATTTCCCGTAATTGCTTGAAAGTAGCCTATCTTTCATTTCAGATGCTAGACTATTTTTGGTTTCATATTCTTCGCATTTTTCGACATTAATTTGTCTCGACGAAGTGGGTTTTTTAGCTGATGCCACTTTTAATTTAATCGTTACCGCAAGAAGATTATGATCTGAAGGTACATTGGCCCCTGAGAAGGTACTGGCTTTTTTGACAGGTATTCCCAATCTTCTATTTATCAGAATGTAATCTATTTGATTTCGGATAAGACTTTAACAGGTTTCCTTCGGAAATTTCTATGTATATAACCGACGAGGAGGGAGTTGAAAGACGATATTAAAAATTTTAAAACCATGTCCTAAGCAGAATTCGATTAAACGATCACCGTGCTCATCTCTTAATCCTAATCCAAAATTGCCAACAATTTCAGGTACAGGTTAATTTCCAACTTTAGCATTGAAATCTCGTATTATTAAGTTCAGATCATGTCTCTTCACTAGCTTTAGTATTTCTGTAAGCTCTGAATATAATAATGCTTCATTTTCCTCTACATCACTATCCACGGTAAGTGCCACATGCTTAAATAATATGGATTTTTATAGGTTTTGCATTAATTTTAAGTGAGAGGAGTTTATCGGAGCAGGGAACGAACTGTTCAATAAAATTTG